AAGGCACAGCGGTATGAAAACCTTGGCGGATTGCAGGGGGGGTTCCCGCAGTGTGGACAGTCTCTATTTAAAGGAACAATGACGTTGTCTTTAAACAATTGAATGGTCTCGAAGTCTTTATCCCTAAATTCACAAATTACGTCCATATAAGACAGGCAACAACCTTCACGTGTCATGCCGAAAATGAAACTGCCACGAACCAGGGAAAAAGTGCCGCAGCAGAGTGCGGCCTCATTACCACTGGGAAGACAAATTAGTGCGCGCTTTATTATCTACAAAACGAGACATTTGCACAAGAAAAGACTACCATATCAGAACTCACTGTTGAAAACAAAGTAAGAAAATAAACAGTACCGGTAATACAAATAACTCGTTCGTGGGTTAGTCCTATATATTAACCATCTAACCTAACCTAACCTAACCTAACCTTAACATACCTAACCTAACCTAAATTTAAAATACATAAAGGTTAAAATGCATAATACTGGCATCCTAGTTTACATTTATGTATCATCAACAGATTTATAGTTATGTTGGAGAAATGATTATAAAAAGTTTTTTATTTCTGCAAATGTATTTTTTAAAAAAGAAATTGAAATTTTTCTCGAGAACTTGATTGTTTGTCACGTGCGGTGCAGCTTTCTTAGGTTAGGTTAGGTAGGGCAAGGTTAGGTTAGGTTAGGTTAGGTTAGGTTAGATAAGGTAAGGTAAGATTAGGTAAGGTTAGGTTTTGTTAGGGTAAGATACAGTTCATTAATTTTGCATTAAAAAAAAACCAGTACTGAATGTATTGGATAAAATCTTATGAAAATAATTATTTTTCTAAAAAAAAAAAAATGCTTTACCACTTAATTTCTCCCCCCCCCCCCTTTATTAGGTTTGATGAACTTAGATCGGGTTAGGTATTATTTCACTCCAAGTCATGGGGACTTATTGGATACTTGGCAGAATAACTTGTTTTAACTCGGTCCTAGCAAAGGCAGAGTCTAGGCAAAAATGTTCACTTGACCTCATAATTGGCTTTTATTGCTGAAAGATATTTTCAGCTATACTACATTAATAAGGTCTATCTGCAAGCTTACTCAGTCATAAAAAAAAATTGTACCATAAGTATGGACAATACAAACCTTCTACTGAGGTACAAATTACTTGAAAAGTTGTAAGAAGACAAAAGTTGTGTCTCTTCCATTCCACGAGAAATAGAAAAACTCAAGCCTCTTCTTATCGTAAAAAAAAAAAAAATGAACTAAAAAGACAAACTGTAATATCGTATTTTAGTATGTTGATGTACAAAACATTTTCTTCATTATTCTATGATAAAACAAGTCTAACAAGCATTATTTCAACATATATTATTAATTTTTTATGCAATCGGGAAATAGCGACTACTATATCCAAGTTGATCGTGTTACAGCACCTCCTTAGGTGCTGTAAGTTACGGGCTGACTTACGGAGTCCACTGCCAAATTGTTTTGAGTATACCGATCAGAGACTATAAGTCCAGTTACGGGGTAAACAAAGAGATACAGTCCCTTAAATGTTTTGGAATATGCGGCCCCAGTACAGCACTTTACAGACTACATAAACAACTTCAGTGGTTGAAACAGTGCCAATATTTCTGTACAGTGTTTTGTTCAGTACTATATATGTATCCTGATGCAATAATCCTTCAGGATCTCACAAAAAATATTGCCATCTCTCAAGTAAATAAAGGCTGCAAAAATCTCTTTCCAATCATCACCTAGTGAACAACTCTAACAAGATCCTTACCTCTTGCTTCATCCTTCAGTCGCTGTACAGTCACTTTCAGATCCTCCTTTTCATCCAGCTCTGACTCCAAGAAGGCATTGCGCTCTATAGCTAAATTTAGCCGAGACTCAAAGTCTTCTAATGAAGTTACTGTTGCTCTGGGAAAAAAAAAGAAAAGAAAATATTTTATAGTAATACACAGGAAAGCTTCGAATAACGATGATTCATATTTTAAACCCTAGTTAATTTAGGACCCGATTCAATTTACACTGTTATTTAATTCGTATTTACAATGAAAATATAGTTAAAAATAAAATAAAACAAAATTTTCATATAAATATGAACTAAATCCCAATATGTAATACAGTACACCTAGACCCCGACTTACGACGGGGCTAGGGACCCAAATCCAGGTCGTAAGTCCGACATAGATAAAAAAAAAAAAAAAAATTTTAATAAAAAATCTACAATGAAATACAGTACAGTAAAAGTAATGAATAATGATGAATGGATACAGTACAGTGAAAGTAATAAATAATAAGGAATGGATACAGTGTGACTGAGCACTTAACCTTTAATGTAGTCAGCTGAATGCACATGGGGCCCCCATAATTTTCTAATTATACATGGAGACTACATTAACTGGAAACGTTTCGGTATAGAAAATGCGTGTCATTTTTTTTTTTTTATCTATATCTGAGGCGGTCGTAAGTCCCGACGGTCGTAAGTCCACGTAGTCGTAAGTCGGGGTCTAGGTGTATGTATATATATATATATATATATATATATATATATATATATATATATATATATATATATATATATATATATATATATATATATATATATATATATATAAAACACGCCTTGCACACTGATGTTGCCGGGCTGGTGAGTGGTACATAAACAGTAGCAGCTTAGCGGTCATTTTGTTTTCAGACATCTGAACAGGAACAGGAGAAAAACTTTCTCAGGTTTTTTATGGCATGTTTGTGTCCCTTTTCAACATGAGCAACAGAGCAAGTGATGGGAGTGCTGGTTTAAAAGCTAAAAGAATGTGTAAAAGCTTAGCCAAGAAACTAGATGTTAATGATACAAAAAAGGTTAAAGGTCAGTGGATATTTCACGCACTTTGGGAATGGCGGAATCAACCGTGAAAACTATCCATAAGAATGAATAAAAAAAATTTAAGAAAAAGCTCAGTTGAAGAGAATGTTCAGGAGTTATTAAAAAGTGCCAGAGAAGCTGTAACAAATGAAGAACTGATGCAACTTCAACAAGAGTATGATTGGAACACAAACACACCAACAGATTACCCCTACCTCACCTTCTCTCAAATTTACAACTAAGCGTTTGGCAGAAGCATTTACTTACATGGAGCAATCATTTAATATATTTTCTGAAATGAATCCATTAACAGAACGAAGCATTAAAATTAACAGGGATGTGAAAAACACAATATCACCCTTAAATAAAGATTAACGATGAGAAAATGAAAGCAGCTGTGCAAGGTTCTTTAAACAGTTTATCATTCCAAGGTGTAAACCATCAACTTCAGCTACACCTTCAACTTTAGGTAAGGCTACACCATCAACTTCAGGTTCAGCTACACCATCAAATTCAGCATCTGCAACTGCTTCAGCAATAACTACAGGTTCAGCAACAGCTTCAGATTCAGCAACAGCTATGGTATCTTTAGGGAAGACACAGCTTCAGCCAGAGTTGAACCTACAGCTTCAGATAGAGAACCTCATGACTTGGGAACTTTGTCATCTGAGTAAAAACTCACAACATAGGCTGTCCTTATGTTTTCGACTTTACCACCACTGGTGAATAGAGTTTTTGTTCTACATTCATAAGCATTAATTAAAAAAATATGAAAAGTAAGAAGTGTTACTTTCATATTCTTGTGTAGAAAAATGAAATTTACACCTGTGCGTATATACATACATACGTTGGCCTTGTGCTATCCGTCTCAATTTTTCTTTACCATCAGTGTTATGTGTCGAGCAGGCATGTGAGTGATAATTGTAGGGTAATAATAATACATGGAGAGAGGAGTCCTGTTTACTCATTGGCCATGTGCCTCTCTCTCTCTCTCTAAACAATAACAAAAGAACATCGGCATGCACAGCGCACTTCATTTAAACTAACATCACGTAACATCCTTCCCCTCAAAGTAAAGAATGTACTGGCTTCAAATAAAGAAAAAGAAAAAATACAAATAGAAATGCAAGATAATAAAAAAATAGAAAATCAAATGTTCTATACTTCATAACATCAGTATTAATGTACATCCTTAAGGTTAAAATCAAGGCATCTTCAAGTAACATAGGTAGTTATTTTGTAGATTATTACATAAACACACTCACAACAATACAATACTTAATGCTAAGTATATAATTTACAGAACCTACATAGTTAGAGCTTTCAGATCAGACCTCAGAGTCACTAAGAGCAGGTAGATAAATACTACTGATATAGTCGAGCTACAGGTCTTGTCTCCTAGTGGCAGTCACCTCAAGTCCAGTTCTAGTCCTGTATTTTCCTTCTACTTGAGACTGTTCTGCTATGGGAGTTGCACCTTGTTCAGACCCTACTGGTTTCCCCTCAAGCTCCTCCTGGATTTTAGGTTCAAGGCTTCTTTGAGGTTTATTGTCTATGGCAGGATTAATGTCTTCTCTGCTAACTCTTGTGGGTCGTATAAGCTGCCGATTCCTTCTGTACTTTTTACCTTCTTCCGTCTCGACTTCATAGGTTCTGCCTTTGATCTTCTTGGTGACTGTAGCCCCTTTCCACTCTTGCATCTTGTTGTCAATGGGTTGCATCCTGACCGCCTCTCCAACTGAAAGTGGTCTCAACAATTTATGGCCCTGGTGTCTCTCTGCCACAGTACTCTTCTTGTTCTACATTAGCCATCTCTCTTCATCCAGAGAACATTGTTTGGGCTTCAGTAAGGTATCATTTGTGGGCACCAGCGTCTTCATCGTCCTCTCCATTAGTCGATGTGTAGGACTCGTGTTCAGTCCCTCTTGTGGGGTGTTTCAGATGTTCAGAAGTCCTAGGTACATGTCTTCTTTTGACTTCAAGCACCACTTCATCATTCCCTTCACAGTCTTCACAGCTGCTTCGGCGGCTCCATTAGCCTTACTATTGACTGGACTTGACATCTTATGGGAGATGTTCCAAGCTCGGGTAAACTGCTGGAAGTGTTGCGATGTGAACTGTGGTCCATTATCATTGATCAGAGTTGCAAGTATGCCATGATGAGCAAAATGACTTAAGTTTGTAAACAACAGTTTCAGAGTCAGACACAGGTAAATAGTCAACCTCAATAAACTGACCAAAATAGTTTATGGTAACTAAATAGTCTCTACGTCATGCATGTATAGTGGCTCCGGGGCTTTTCTGCTAGCTGAAAAAGCACAACTGTCACATGATTCTACGTAATGCCTGATCTCAGAAGACATGCCGGGACAGAAAATCAGCTCCCTGGCACGTCTCAAACATGAGTTTATTCCTGAATGGCTCGCATATATTTTGCATTTAATTTCACCTCTATGTGTAGAGTGGGGTATGCTATAATGAACGGATTCTACTACGAATATTCGTATAACGAACGGTTTTACCTATAAAATTGAGAATGCTATAACGAACGAAACTCCTACAACGAACAGTATTTTTTTTTTTTTTTTTTTTCACTAAATTATTGTTTTTCATTACAAGTATTAATGATATTCTTTATTTCAGGGGTTTAGATGCATATTTATGCACTTTTTTACAATTTTATATTATATTTTTCAGTGTTATGTGGTTGTATTTGGGGGACTGGAATGGATTAATCCTAAAACGAACGAATGCTATAACGAACAAGGTTCTAGAACCAATTAGATTCATTATAGCATACCCCACTGTACTGGGAATTATAACCCTCTCTCCCTGTAACAACACACCATCTTGAACAGTTATCTCATCTCTGTAACCAAAGTAAGGTGACACACTCACAAGAACACCACTTTTGTTCACTGGCCAACCTTTCAAAACAACTACCTTCAGTTGACTCAGTATTTCAACTTTCTCAGTGGCTTCTCTAACTTCACACAGCCTGCCTGGTTGAAAGGAGTGTCAGTCAAGTTATGAATCGACAGTATGATTTCCCAAGGTTCATCTACCGGGGCTCTAGATAAGGCATCAGCCATGGGGATGTCTTTGCCTGATTTGTGGCATAATTTATAGTGGTACCCTTGAGTTCTCATTAGCATTGCTGGTAAACTTTTGGGAAGACGAGGCAGAAGCTTGTCTCAACATTAACAAGAGGTTTGTGATCTGTAATTACATTAACAAAGTGACCTTATGTGTAATGATGAAATTTCTCCAGACCATAAACTACTGGAAACATTTCTTTTTCTATTAGTGCATAGTTCCTCTCTACATCACTTAGAGACTTACTTGCGAAAGTAACAGGTTTTCCTTCCTGCAGAAGCACTGAGCCAAGACCATTTCACTAGCATCCTCTCAAGCGTTAACTCATTTATTAGGGTCATAGAACACCAGCAGAGATTTATCAGCTATCATGCCTTTAAATTTCTGAAAAACCTGCTCTTGTGCACTGGACCAGCACCAGGGTACATAAATTTTAAACATATTGTAAAGGGTGTGTAAGACACCAAACACATTAGGTAGGAATCTGGACATATAATTAACCAGGTCTAAGAATGACCGGAGGCTAGTTTTGGATTCTGGAGTTGGGAATCCTTAATGACTAACTTTTTCAGGATCAGGTTGAAGACCCTCTTTGATTATTTGATGTCCCATGAACGTTAAAGAGTCACTCCGCAACTCAATCTTGTCTTTGTTAAGCTGGATATTTTTCTCTCTACAACATTTGAGAAAATTTTCTAGGTTTGCATTGTGTTCCATTGTATCGGCCCCATGTATTATGACATCATCAGCAATGTAGACAACTCCCTTCAAACCTGCTAGTGCCTTAAGTAATCGCTTCTGAAAAATTTCTGAGGATACATTAAGCCCAAAATCTACCATGACATGTTTAGAATGTGGTCAAGTAACTAGAAGTAGTATCGAGCCTCACATGCCAATAGCCATATGCCAAGTCGACTTTTGAGAATACTCTAGACTGGCCCAATTCATGAAGGGTGTTGTAAAGAATAGGAAGTGTATAATGTTCCGTCTGAAGGGCCTTATTCAGCTCTCTTGGGTCTTTGCAAACTCTGATTTTCCCATCCTTTTTGACTCACAACAACTTGACTCACCCAATAGGTTGGTTCATCTACAGGTACAATTACACCCAGCTTAACTATTATAGTCTCTCTAGTTCTGCCTTTAGTTAGGATTCATGGATTTTGGGCATGCGTCTGTCAGGCATAATTACAGGTTTAATATTTGGGTCAACTTTGATGGGCTGTACACCAGGGAGGGTTCCTAGAGTGCTCTTCATCACATCCAAATACTCATCTTCTAGTTTGATATTGTACACTTACTCAATGTTACCCTCCTTTACTTCCACCAGCCCCATTTATTGACTAGCATTCATCCCTAAAATTGGTGTAAGATTCTCTCTAAAGACAATGAAATCAATAGGAAACTTCTGACCAGTTAGAGGGTTGTACAAATTCCTAGTGCATATACCAAGTGGAACCTAACTGCCTTGGTTCCAGGTCTTAAGGCCTCTATTTGTAGATTTGACATGTTTGACAAAACTGAGGGGTAGAGTATTCACAGTAGAACCAGTGTCAATCTGAAAGCCTATCTCTTTACTCCCTATCACAATCATACACTAAGCTTCCTTGTGATTGTTGTCATGTGTTCTTGGTTTAGAGAACACTGAATAAATAAAGTCAGTAGCTGGCTTTGTTGAGGAAGATCCAGACTCAGATGTGTCACACACATTATAGATCTTATGCCTTCTCTTATTCTTTACCTCTCTATTTTGACTACACTGACTTTTCTGTGATTTACACACATTAGCAAAATGATTCCTGAGACCAGATGATACACACTTTTTGCCATATGCAGGGCATTTCTCTTTTATGAGAACATGTTTATAACCACAAAACTTGCAGTCTTTCTTAGGCTTCTCATATAACACTTTCCTCCTGTCATTCTTCTCCTTATAAAATCTGTTCTCCTGTTTTATTTACTGTGTCTGGTCTTATCATTCTGTTCTGAGCTGCTGTATTTTCAGCTGCTTTACATATGTCGATACATTTCTCCAGTGAGTAGTCTCACACTTTAAGCAGTTCATTTTGCAAACTTGAGTCTCTAATACCCAAGACAATATGATCCCCGACCATTGACGGCAAGCAGCTGTCACAATAAGCATAAGTAGAAGTGCTCAAAAGTTTCACCTTCAACCTAGTTTTTACCGTTAAAGACAAACCTTTCATATGTCTCGTTTACTTTTCTTATGGCATAATCCTCAAATTTCTCAATACAGTACACCCACCTCTCATTTTACGCGGGAGGTTATGTTTTTTCCTATTCATCTTTGAAGAATCTGCTGATCCTTGAGACTGGATTTTCTGTTACCTTTTTTAAAATTCTTACCAGTGATGTTTTCTGTGTGGTTGAAGATGCGTTTTTGTTATATCAATGCCATACAGTATTACCTGTTTGCTGAATTTTTAATGTCCTGTAGCTTTCATATTTCCAATTTGCTTACTACAGTACTGTAATCCACTTGAAATTTTACTTGTAAACATAAAAATTTTCTGAGTATTTAATTTTTAAAATTATTCTTCTCAGGGGAGGGGGGAGGGGGGGTGCCAAAGGAAGGGTCTGCCCCGGGTCCCAAGTTAGACTCATCTGTAGCCACATCCCCTTTCCTCTTGCTACCAGTGAGTCAGCCTTCTTGTGGTGTGAATGAGTGTACACATGAGTGCTGCTCTCTGATGGTGTGAAAGATAGTTGGTTGTCAGTTGTTTATCTGAGAGGTTGGGTATGGGTGATGTGGCTTGGGATTTCCTGTTCATGTGTTACCGTGTACTTGCAATTGGAATCCCACTGCACTATTGTAGGGGCCTTCCAAATAAATGTACCTGTCAAGCCTGTGTTTTCTTGAGCCTTAAACTCTAAGCAATAAAAGAACATGGTGCAGTGCGTTGGATCCATTGTTCATTTACTGCAGGGCTTCCAACGTGATCCAGATGGAGAACCAACTGGAACAACTGATGGCACTCCTGGTGAAGCTGACAGAGATGGCTAAGCAAGAATCATACCACAGGGAGGAGCGCTTGAACCAAATCCTGGAAAGGATGGTGGATTCACGGCAAGTGCCAAGTGACAACAGTGTAGCAACCACAAGTGGTGCCACCACCACCAGCAGTGGTGTGCCACCACAGGCCATGTTTACCATTGGTGCTGCACTTATTGTCTTATGCTTCACTAAGGGAATTCGATGCATGGTACCACAATTTAAGGGGTATGTACACCCAGTGGAACAGATTGCATCATTGATGTCTCTGATAATCGCCATCCACTCACATGTTTAGGAACCTTCTGGTCACACCTGGAGCTGGGAGACAAATATACAGTACAAAGACAGTAGTATCAGTCATCAAGGATGTAAAGGGAGCCCTGCTTAGCTGGTTTGACTACATTGCCCTTGGCATTCTGTCAGAGGATTTCTCAGTTCAGATGCAGCCAGTTAAGCAGAGGGAGTTGACTGCACCTCAAAGCAGCCATGAACCTTCCAGAGTGAGTTGGGTGTCACCGCCTACCCGGCAGTCCGGGTGGCCACACGAACATGACCCCATGTTGTCACAGCAAGAACACGCTGCCGCTTTAGTTGCAGCCTTCCCGATGATCTTTGGTGCATTGCAGATGATGGAGGCTCCATGCTTATCCAACTTACCGATGATGCTCGTCCTTTCACCGTAACAATTTCCCGCAACATCCCTTACAGCTGGCGAAAGGAAACCAAAGCACAAATGGATGACTTGTTTGCTAAGGTGTGGACTACCTGACAGCTTGGTACCCTCCTATTGGCCTGGTGGTGAAGAAACCGTCCAAAGTGAGGTCGAGTGTGGACCTCACGCCTTAATCATTACATCCGAAGGCCGACATACCCTGCGTAATGCCCTCATGACGACATAGCTTCCACAGGATCAGGAGCATGGTGGATCACCATCATTGTCACAAAGAGGGAGTATTTTCAAATCAAGGTTACATACCATTACAAACATCCACACTACAGGTACATGTTATTTTCAACTTTTCTTGCAAAAATTGGAAACGTAATTTTACAGCAAATTCTCAACAATGTAACATCTAAGAATAAAAAAACTATCTGTCTACAGACAAAGAGTAATTTGGTTACTTAAAAATTGTCCTTTAGGGTTCTTCTATATAATGTTAAAATTCTAGTACAGTACACTATTTGAGGAAGTAACAGATGGGCCCCAATCCTCAGAGGCCTAAGTCAGTCTATCCAATATTATTGGTCCAAAATCCTAATCAGGTTAGGTTTGGTTGCAGTATATTAGACTGTACCCCAATTGATCAATCATAGATAGATCCACTGAATCTATATTTGGTGAGAACTGGGGCCATGACCTGGCACAATTACTGTATTGTAATTTGGCTCTGGCAAGACAACTCTTTGTACCCAAGTTCAGTCTTAATAAAAGACTAAACAGTTCTCAACAACAACAATAACTAATTACCTTTTAGCTCGTTCTAAATCATCGTTGGCTTGCTCTAGCTCCCTGATATAACGTGTAAGGTCTTCTTTAATATCTTTTATATCAGTCAGTTCACTCTGTAGATTATTAACTTGCCCATTGAACTCGTTATGGAGACGCTCAAGTCGTTCCTGGAAAGAAGATAATATGCTAGAGGTGTCAACTAAAACATCAAGCACTGTTTAAATATAAATAAGAGGGATGTCTACAGAACCATGCATGCATGAATGATACCCCATCATAAAACAAGCAAAGTTTTCTAGTTTTCTAAGGGGTGCACCTCTCTCAAAGATGGCATAGATTAGCAGAAATTCTGTACTGTACTGTACTGTACTATCTTCTCCAGGGGCTTCAAAAAATTATATGTACTAAGTTTGATTAAATTAGGGTAAAATGTTGTAAAGCTATTGCACATACAAAGACCTATGTTATATCCCCAAGACAACTACTGTATTAGCAGAATAAAAATAATGATTTACACAAAATATAATGGTGAATTAAGAACTGGCAGGACATTATAATCTTTGAAGTTCTTTAATATGTGGTTGTTACTGTCTATCATTCAGTGTGCTTTATGTGCACTCTTCTATTTTCATGTAGATAACCAATGCATAAACTAAAAATTACAAGAATCGTACCATATATAGTAAGCACAGATACACAGTCTATGTAGACATTATAAAATTTCATACTGATTATACAGCTACTCCTCGACTTACGACCACCCAAACATACGACCGCCCAAGTCGGACCAAAATTTTATCAAATTACGTATTTTCGAGTCCCGACGTTAGTGATTGCGCTGTGTACTGACAAAATATTTGTTTGTAATTCCCTTTAAAATAGCTGGCAAGCTTAAAAGTGAGAGAGTTCTATGTATTATCTTCGCATTTTCGACTTACGACCAATTCGACTTACGACCTGGATTTGGGTCCCTCATCCAGTCGTAAGTCGAGGAGCAACTGTGTTTTCTTCTTTCCTTGTGGTTATCAGCATATATATACATACAGTCAACCCTCACTTTACGCGGTCCCACATTCCGCGTTTCCACGTTTACGCGGTGCCCTGCCAGAACCTAACGTGCTCACATTACGCGGTGCGTGAACCCCATTACGCGGAGTGTGTCCGGCGTGACGCTATTTTTAGATTCGCCCCACCCGCCACCCGCCTGCCTGCCTGTGCTCTCGCCTCTCCCTCCTCCTCCCTCCATCCCTCCCTCCTCCCTCCGCCTGGGCAAGCGGCGCGGTAAGGTTGCGCAGTGTGTGTCTTTGTTGCGTTATCACTGACGTCATATGACGTATCGGACTGTGATTGGCCATGCATCTCTACCCTCCTCTGCTGCTAGCTGTAATTGGCTTAAAGTATTATGACGTGTCCACCCAGGGGAGGGAGGGAGGGAGGAAAGACGACGCTTCACCTAGCCGCGGCAGTTTCATCCCTCCAGGCCAGACCGTGTAAACGTGTATCCATTGTTCTGTAAAATGGCTTCCGCCGGACCACCACCCCCAGAGAGAAACCTTTCCTTACCTGGACCCAGCGGCACTAAGCCAAAGAAGACACGACATTCCTTAAGCTACGAGGTGAAGTATACCATCATCCAAGAGTTGGAGAAAGGAACAAGGCAGGGATTTGGCGCGCCAGCATGGTGTGAATGAATCTACGATTCGAACAATAAAGAAGGATGCAGCCAAGATAAAGGAGCACATGAAGATCACAAAGTCTACAGGTGCTTCTATGATCAAGTATTTTCACAGCCAGGTGCTTCTCAAGACAGAAAAATTACTTGTGAGGTACTTGGTGCGTCAGGCGCGACGGAACATGGCGGTCGACACGCGCTCTGTTAAGGAGTACGCAAGTGAACTGTACATTGCAGTGGCACAAAAGATGGGAATTACAGAGCCCAAACCCTTTAATGCTTCCTCTGGGTGGTTACAGAGGTTTAAGATCCGGAACAAGATCACCAATATAAACATTGGTGGTGAAGAAGCGAGTGCTGACCGTGCTGCGGCTAGGGAATTTCCTCCGTTTTTACGCGAGATTATGGAGGAAGGAAAGTACAATGACCACCAGGTGTTTAACATGGACGAATCTGGTCTTTTCTGGAAAAAGCTACCTTCCAAGTCCTTCGTTGTAGAGAATGCCAGCAAGATTCAGGGCCGGAAGATGCAGAAGAAACGCATCACCGTCCTGTTTACCACCAGTGCCTCCGGTACCTGTAAGCTCAAGTTATCGGTGATCCACACAGCACGCAAGCCGCACGCCTACAAAACCATGGACATGACCAAGCTAAATGTCCACTGGCTGACCGCACGTAAGGCATGGATGTTCTCTACACTGTCCCTCTCCTGGTTTGATGACTGTTTTGTTCCCGATGTAAAGAAATTCTGTGAGCGACAGAATGTGCCATTCAATATTTTGTTGCTGCTGGACAACGCACCAAGACACTCGCCCCTACTGTTAGATCGTCACTCCAACGTAAAAGTGGTCTTCCTTCCTCCCAACACTACGTCTATATTACAGTCCATGGACCAAGAGTTAATCTGCAATGTAAAAGCTGCATTCTCAACAAAAAAGTTCCAGCTGCTGAACGACTACACCAACACCAGGGAAGAGTTGCGTAACTTGAGTGACACCACCACCGATAGCAAGAGCGAAGAAGATGAGGATCAACAGTTGGCACAGCAAAAAATACTGTTCAAACAATTCTGGAGAGTATTTAACATCAAGAAAGCTGTGGACTTCTTGGTGGAGTCATGGGATCAGCTGTCTATTGCTACAATTCGTCACGCATGGAGACATGTGTTGCATGGCATACCAGGTGAGAAGAGGAGTCAATCTGTGACTGGTGAGGTTCAGACTGTTGCAGTAACAGTGGACCTTGCCAGAGAAGCTGCGCAGAGTGTTACAGTTGCAGGCTTCTCCGAGACCACCAACGACGACATCCTGGAGGTGATAAGGGATCGTGATGTGACTACCGAGGAGATAGTACATGATGATGACGACGTCAGTGAAGAGGCAGGTGGTGCGTCATCCCAAGAAGAACACCGCTTATCCCATAGTAATGTAAGGGGTGCCATCGAGTGTATCGAGAAAGCCAAGCTCCTCCTTTCCGACGACCCTGACGCAAACAGGTATGAAATCTTCACTACCCAGCTGTTGCAGACTATGGAGCCCTACATCAAGGTGTATCACGACAACATCAACACCAGCCGTCAGCAAAGCATAACAGATTTCTTCGCCCGCAACCCACCACAGCCAGCCCAAGCCAGTGATAGTGACAGTGAAGATGACTGAGGGATTTGTCAGGGAAGCCCTGACAACTGTAAGTGACAGTGATGGTGATTCACCTAGTAATGGTGATTCACCTGAGGGCCATTAATCTGCCCTCTGCCTCGGAACCAGCCTCCATCCCCGTATGCCGACCCATCTCTTCTACTAACGTAAGTGTTCAACCTAACTTTTAGTTTTCCTAACCTAACCTTTATTTTTCCTAACTTAACCTTTGTTTTTCCTTACCTAACCTCTTCTATATTTCTTGTTTGTGCATGCCATCATAAAGTTAAGATAAAATTTTTAATACAACATAGTTGTGTGTCGTCAAAAAGTGGAGTTTGGGGGTCGGCCCGGACTCTATTTCAATTAATCCCATATGTTATGTTATTTACTTTACACGTTCCTCACTTTCCGCGGGACCCTGCGGGTTACATTAACCGCGTAAAGTGAGAGGGAGGTGTGAGAGGGAGGTGTGTGTGTGTGTGTGTGTGTGTGTGTGTGTGTGTGTGTGTGTGTGTGTGTGTGTGTGTGTGTGTATATATATATATATACCTATGCAAGTAAATCACTGTAGGTGCGCGTGATCTAGGTATATGCTGACAACCACAAGGAAAGAAGAAAACACGAAGTTCCCAAGCGCTTTCGTGTAAGTCGCATCTTCAGGGGTGAGTACAGACTAAAGAGAAGTACAAAACAAGGTGTATATATACAGAGGAGGGTGAGACCAGGTCCACAATGGTCAGGTATTAGGTAATGACCCTACTAATCTTTAAATAGCACCGCAACGGTTGGTAGTCAGGTCAGAGGGTTAGGTGACCCAACCTTCTCACCTGGTTACAAATCTTCTTAATTACAAAATTGTCCAGTTTGTACATGCCATTACTCAAATTCATGTTGAATGCTTCGGTATGTTTAACCCTTTGACCGCGCCATCCGATTTCAAGGTTGTTCCCGGAAAGTGTCATTAAGTCACCAAAAAATGAAAGTGCTGTTTTGAGCTTTTTTATTGATTTTCTATAATGAAAAAACTTGGTTTTTCCATATATGACATTTATATTCCTTAGAAATGTTGTTATCTAGTGGAAAATCATGTTTTTACGGAAAAAAGGCGAAAAAAAAATATGTCTCAGGTTTTCTTCAGGTAAAGTGGTTTGAGGAACTCAGATGTTGCCAAAATTGCCTCCAGAATGATAGATCATGACCCAAAACTATGGTAATAATTAATGTAAAGTGATGTTTCATGGAAATTATAACCCGGTTTTTATGTGCAATATTGGTACCTCACCTGGAAACATTGTTGGTGAAATAACTAAACAGATAATACAAAAATATTTTATTTCAATCCTTGAACATATTTATATATAGCTACATTACATGAACATTATGAGCACTGACAGGACATTTTATAATTGGTTTTAGTATGATATCTCTCGAAACAGTGCACGACACATAGGGGAGGGTGGTCAGGACATTTTTGACAGTAGAATGTTGTTTGTTTTCTCTTGCATGCGCCTCGACCTTTCTTTACACATTGAGATGGGAAAATAGAACAGACAACACAATTGGGCTTGTATTGTTTGTCCTGAAATTGAGAAATGAAATGCCTTTCTGTCAACCTTGTGGCTAAAGGTACTACACTCCTCCTTTGACGTTTTGATTCCTTAAGAGAGTACCCATCCAACATGCCTACAATAACCTCCCTTCTATATTCCTTTTGGTACAGATGGTCGCGAGTAAGTAACAAAAATATATAAGTTACTGCAAAATATTAATTTATTTTGCACATCACAGAAAATGGGAAGCGACAAGAACAGTGAAAAGTTGTCTTATTTCGCAATTTTTGTCTATATACAGGCTATTTCGTTACAAAATAACTACTCAAATATATATATAACACAGTCTTTATTCATATTTTAACACTGGACTATGCCAAAAATGCCTGGGTTATGCTGAAACAGCGGTAAATGATGATGGAAAGTGACTGACAAACAGCGAAAATTTTTCTTATCACAAACATCGCAATTTTTGTCTATATACTGGCTATTTCATTATAAAATAACTATTCTCAAATATATATAACAAGGTCTTTATTCATATTTTGACACCGGACTATGCCAAAAATGCCTGGGTTATGCAGAAACAATATTATAGCAAATCTTTATACAGGCAAACAGACGGAAAAACAGCGATCATATTATGAGATATAACCATCACTATTTGTTTATCTATATTAGTGTTTTATATATATTCTCATGCTTGAAACACTTACACTGCCTTCTTTATGTGGATTATGAACAGATATATGCCGCTGAAACTATTTTCTGGCAAATCTTTATACCGACAAATTCACGAAAAAATAGCGATCATATTTTTACATATAACCACCACTATTTGCTTATCTATATCGGTCTGTTATA